TTTTCCGGTTTTTCAATTTTTCGGAATTAATTTTTCAGTTTTTCGATGTTTCAATTTTTCACTTTTTGGTTTGTTTTTTTTTTTTTAGTTAAATTTATTCAATTTTGAATTTTCCCATTTTTTGACTTATAGCCACTTCCATTTCTCAATTTTTCGATTTTTCGACTTCTCGATCTTTTTATATTTGGATTTCGCGATTTTTCAATTTTTCGATTTCGATTTCTCGATTTTTGAGTTTATTTCTCAGAGTAATTCATCTTTTCCATATTTCGATTTTCCAATTTTTCCACGTTTCAGTTCCGAGATTTATCTATTTAAATTTTTTGATTTTTCAATTTTTGGCGTTTCTCAATTTTTGCTTTTTTCGATGTCTCAATTTCTCGATTTTTTAATTTTTCGAATTTTCCATTTTTCGACTTTCTGATTTCTCGATTTCTCAGTTTTGGGATTCTTCAATGTGTTTCGATTTTTCAAAATTTTGCCATTTTTTAAATCTTACATTATTCGATTTTTCAATTTTTTGATTTTTCGATTCGTTGATGAATTTCTCGATTTTGTAAATTTTCAATTTCCGAATTTTTAAATTTTAGATTTTTCACTTTTTTGTTGCTTCGATTTTTTGCCTTCTCATTTTTCGATTTTTCAATTTTTCGGAATTAATTTTTCAGTTTTCGATATTTCGATTTTTCAATTTCCGATTTGACGGTTTTTTTTTCGATTTTTCGCCTTCTCGTTTTTAGATTTTGCGGTTTTTCAATTTTCGGAATAAATTTTTCAGTTATTCGATGTTTCGATTTTTCACTTTTTGGTTTATGGTTTTTTTTTTGATTAAAATTTTTCAATTTTGAATTTTTCGTTTTTCGATTTTTAGCCACTTCCATTTCTCAATTTTTCGATTTCTCGATCTTTTGATGTCTGGACTCCATGATTTTTCCTACGTATTTAAAATTTTCGATTTTTCAATTTTCGAGGTTTCTAAATTTTTGGATTTTTAGATTTCTCAATTTCTCGATTAATGGATTGCTTAATTTTTCAACTTCGCGATTTTTCGGTTTCCGGTTTCTCGATGTCTCGATTTTAAAAAAATTTTTGGAATTTTCGACTTCCTGTTTGTTTTGATTTTTTACTTATTCTATTTTTCAAAAGGTTACTTTAAATCTTACATTTTTCGATTTTTCAGTTTTTAAATTTTCAATTTTTTAAATTTTTAAATTTTAGATTTTGCATTTTTTTGTTTTTCGACTTCTCAATCTTTCGATTTTTTGCCTTCTCGTTTTTAAATTTTTTAATTTTTCAGTTTTTCGATATTTTGATTTTTCAATTATTGATTTAACGGTTTTCTTTCGATTTTTCGCGTTTTCGTCTTTTAGGTTTTCCGGTTTTTCAATTTTCGGAATTAATTTTTCAGTTTTTCAATGTTTCGATTTTCACTTTTTGGTTTATCGTTGTTTTTAAGTTAAAATTTTTCATTTTTGAATTTTCCCATTTTTCGATTTATAGCCACTTCCATTTCACAATTTTTGGATTTTTCAACTTCTCGATTTCTCAGTTTTTCGATAACTCGTCGATTTTCCAATTTTTCAACAATTCACTTTTGGGGTGGATGCATTTAAATTTTTTGATATTTCAATTTTTCAATTTTTGAGGTTTCTAAAAATTTGGATTTTTCGATTTCTCGATGTCTCAATTAATGGATTTTTCGATTTTTCGGTTTCCGATTTCCCAATTTTTCAATTTTGAATTTCCCAATTTTTCGATCTTCAGCTAACGTTTTCTCAATTTTTCGATTTTTCTGTGTAGTTTTGGTATTTTTCAATTTTGGGATTATTCAAGATTTCGATTTTTTAATTTTTAGATTTTTCGACATTCTGTTTTTTGATTTTTACTTACTCGATTTGTCCAAAATTTTAAATCTTACATTTTTCAACATTTTCATCTTTTCCATATTTTAATTTTTGGATTTTTGGATTTTTTAGATTTTTTAAAAAATTCTTTTTAAATTTTTTGATTTTTCAATTTTTCGGAATTAATTTTTCAGTTTTTCAACATTTCGATTTTTCAATTTTTCGATTTTCCAATTTTTAGCGTTTCCAAATTTTTGGACTTTTTTATTTCTCAATTTCTCGATTAATGGATTTTTTAATTTTTCGACTTTGCGATTTTTCGTCTTTCCGATTTCTCTATTTCTCAATTTTTCGATTTCCAAATTTTCAATGTTTAAGTTTTGAAATTTTTCAATGTGTATTTCGATATTTAAATTTTTAGATTTTCGACTTTTTGATTTTTCTTTTTTTTAAGCTTTTGCGATTTTTAAACCTTACATTTCTCGATTTTTCAATTTTTTGATTTTTCGATTCGTTGATATTGTAATTTTCCAATTTTTAGGATTTTTAAATTTTAGATTTTTCATTTTTTGTTGTTTCGATGTCTCAGTCTTTCGATTTTTTGCCTTTTCATTTTTAAATTTTTCGATTTTTCAATTTTTCGAAATTAATTTTTCACTTTTTCGATATTTCGATTTTTCAGTTTTCGATTTAATGGTTTTCTTCCGATTTTCGCCTTCTCGTTTTGAGGTTTTCCGGTTTTTCAATTTTTCGGAATTTATTTTTTAGTTTTTCGATGTTTCGATTTTTCACTTTTTGGTTTATCGGTTTTTTCTTCTCGACTTCTCAATCTTTTGTTATTTCGATTTGGCGATTTTTCAATTTTTCGATTTCGATTTCTCGATTTCTCAGTTTATTTTCAATTTTTTAACGCTTCAGTTCTGGGATTTATGGATTTAAATTTTTTGATTTTTCAATTTTTGGCGTTTCTAAATAATTTTTGCTATTTTCGATTTCTCAATTTTTCGATTAATGGATTTTTTAATTTTTCGAATATTCCATTTTTCGTCTCTCTGATTTCTCGATTTCTCAGTTTTGGGATTTTTCAAGGTGTTTCGATTTTTTAAAATTTTGCAATTTTTTTAAATCTTACATTATTCGATTTTTCAATTTTTTGATTTTTCGATTCGTTGATGAATTTGTCGATTTTGTAAATTTTCAATTTCCGAATTTTTAAATTTTATATTTTTCACTTTTTTGTTGCTTCTATTTTTTGCCTACTCATTTTTCGATTTTTCAATTTTTCGGAATTAATTTCAGTTTTTCGATGTTTCGATTCTTCAATTTTCTATTTAGTGGTTTTCTTCCGATTTTTCGTCTTCTCGTTTTTGGATTTCCCGATTTTTGATTTTTTCGGAATCAATTTTTCAGTTTTTCGATGTTTCGATTTTTCACTTTTGGGTTTTTTGAGTTAAAAGTTTTCAATATTGAATATTCCCATTTTTCAATTTTTAGTCACTTCCATTTCCCAATTTTTCGATCTTCCGACTTCACGACCTTTTGATGACTCGATTTCGATTTCTCGATTTCTCAGCTTTTCGATTTTCCGAGTTTTCAACATTTCAGTTTTGGGATTTCAAAATTTTTGAATTTTTCGATTTCTCAAGTTTCTCAATTAATGGATTTTTCAATTTCTCGACTTTTCGTGTTTCCGATTTCTCGATTTTCAATGTTTACGATTTTGCAATTTTGGGATTTTTCAATGTGTATTTCGATTTTTAAATTTTTAAATTTTTCGACTTTGTTTTTTTGATTTTTACTTATTCGATTTTCCAAAAGAGATTTTTTAAATCTTTCATTTTTCTTTTTGTCTATTTTTTGATTTTTCGATTCGTTGATGTTATGATTTCTCGATTTTGTAAACTTTCAATTTTTCGTTGTTTCGATTTTTCGGTTTTTCGATTTTTTGTCTTCTCGTTTTTAAATTTTTCGATTTTTCAATTTTTCAATTTTTGGCGTTTCGAAATTTTTGGGATTTTTCGATTTCTCAATTTTTCAATTAAACGATTTTTTAATTTTTCGATTTCTCAATTTTTCGATTTCTCTGTCTAAGTTTTGGGACATTTCAATTTTGGGAATTTTCAAGATTTCGATTTTAAATTTTTAGATTTCGACTTTCTGTTTTTTGATTTTTTATTTACTCGATTCAAAAATTTGGGAGTTTTTAAATCTTACATTTTTCAACATTTTCTTCTGTTCCATATTTTAATTTTTGGATTTTTTAGATTTTTTAAATTTCCGGTATTTCAATTTTTCGGAATAAATTTTTCAGTTTTTTGATGTTTCGATTTTTCACTTTTGGGTTTATGGGTTTTTTTTGGTTAAAATTTTTCAATTTTGAATTTTTTCATTTTTCGATTTTTAGCCACTTCCATTTCTCGATCTTTTGATGTCTCGACTCCGTGATTTTTCAATTTTTGAACGTTTTAGTTTTGGGACTGTCTTTAAAATTTTCGATTTTTCAATTTTCGAGGTTTCTAAATTTTTGGATTTTTAGATTTCTCAATTTCTCGATTAATGGATTGGTTAATTTTTCAACTTTCCGATTTCTCGGTTTCCGATTTTCAAATTGTCAATGTTTAAGTTTTGGGATTTTTCAAATGTGTTTCGATTTTTAAATTTTTAGATTTTTCGACTTCCTGTTTTTTTGATTTTTTACTTATTCGATTTTTCAAAAGGTGAGTTTAAATGTTACATTTTTCGATTTTTCAGTTTTATTATTTTTCGATTTGTTGATTTTTCAATTTTTGATTTAACGGTTTTCTTTCGATTTTTCGCGTTTTCGTCTTTTAGGTTTCCCGGTTTTCCAATTTTTCAGAATTAATTTTTCAGTCTTTCGATGTTTCGATTTTCACTTTTTGGTTTATCGTTTTTTTTTTAAGTTAAGATTTTTCAATTTTTAATTTTCCCATGTTTCGATTTTTAGCTACTTTCATTTCTCAATTTTTCGGTATTTTCAGTTTTGATTATCGTGGTCTTTCTACTTCCGTCTTCGCCACGTCTACCGAAGTTGCTACCGTGATGTGATATTAAGTACAACTGAATGAAAAGACAAGCGTCACTAATTCAATTTAACTTATCTTTTTTTATAAGTAATAAATTATTAAAACTACGTAGTGCGTTTTTATTTTTATTCAATTCTTACTATAGATACATGTCAACTTTTAAACAGTTTGAATTTTTTGAAATACTTCTGGATTTCGTCTTTGGGGTACGGCTTGGCCACTAGACACGTGGGTATATTTTCGGGTTGCTCGATCCACAGTTTGTGTTTGATGTTATTTTCGTTGAGTTTGTCTTTCAAGGTGACTAAGCTGCTTTCGTTTGGGGCTTCTAGCACCACTTTGTGCATGTTGTCCAGGTCTTTCAAGTATAGTTGGGTGTGTTCGTCCTCGTGGAACAAATGGGTGACTGCGGTGGCAGCATGACAGGCTTGAGCGATGACAGCGCCGATTGGCCAACCCAACTCTTTCAAGAGGTCGCCTCGGACTACCACGTATTGAACAATCCCGGAAGCACTCATCGTTACTGTAAAAACACAATAGGTCATTATTAAACACGTCAAAGCAAGAGGAAGATTGATGTACTCAGAAAGTACCCACTTTTATCAACCTGACTTAGTGAGAAATCGAATAAGCTGATGAATATTATAATATAATTTTTTACTTATTCGATTTTTCAAAATGTGACTTTAAAACGTACATTTTTCGATTTTTCAGTTTTTAAATTTTCAATTTTTCGAATTTTTAAATTTGAGATTTTGCACTTTTTTGTTATTTCGATTTGTCAGTCTTTCGATTTTTCGCCTTCTCGTTTTTAAATTTCTTTCATTTTTTAATTTTTCAGTTTTTGGATATTTCGATTTTTCAATTTCCGATTTGACGGTTTTCTTTCGATTTTTCGCCTTCCCGTTTCTAGATTTTCCGGTTTTTTAATTTTTCAATTTTCAAATTTTCAATGTTTTAGTTTTGGGATTTTTCAATTTTGGGATTTTTCAATGATGTATTTCGATTTCTGTTTTTCAGAATTTTTGACTTTATTTCTTTGATTTTTTATTTATTCGATTTTTCAAAATGTTGCGTTTCCTACATTTTTCGATTTTTAAATTTTTTAATTTCCGATTTTGTAAATTTTATATTTTTGGAATTTTTAAATTTTAGATTTTTCACTTTTTGTACTTTCGATTTCTGTCTTTCGATTTTTTGCCTTCTCATTTTTAGATTTTTCGTTTTTTCAGTTTTCCAATATTTCGATTTTTCAAGTTTTCGACTTCTCGACTTACGACCTCTCGATGTTACGATTTCTTTTCGATTTTCCTACTTTTCAACATTCAGTTTTGGGATTTATGTATTTAAATTTTTTGATTTTCCAATTTTTCACTTTTTGGCGTTTTTAAATTTTTGGATTTCATTGTTTAAGTTTTGGGATTTTTAAATAGTGGGAATTTTCACAATTTCGATTTTTAAATTTGTAGATTTTTTGACTTTGTTTTTTTGATTTTTTACTTACTGGATTTTTAAAAATTTTGCGAGTTTTTAAATTTTAAATTTTTCTCGATTTTCATCTATTCGATATTTTAATTTTTGGATTTTTAAATTTTTTTATTAGTTTTTTAAAATTCTTTTTCGATATTTCGATTCTTCAAATTTCGATTTAACGATTTTCTTTCGATTTTTCGCCTTCTCATTTTTAGATTCTCCGGTTTTTCAAGTTTTCGGAATTAATTTTTCACTTTTAAATAAATTTTAAAGAAACCTATTATTATTGTTAATTCATTTTTTAAATTTCCGACTTCTCAATTTTTCGATTTCTTTGTTTAAGTTTTGGGATTTTTGAATACTGGGAATTTTCAAAATTTCGATTTTTAAATTGTTAGATTTTTGACTTTCTGTTTTTTTTTACTTACTCGATTTTTCAAAATCTTGAGAGTTTTTAAATCTTACATTTTTCAACATTTTCTTCTATTAAATATTTTAATTTTTGGGGATTTTTGTATTTTTTTAATTCTTTTTAGGTTTTTCGAATTTTCAAATTTTTGGAATTAATTTTTCAGTTTTTGCATATTTCGATTTTTCAATTTTCGATTTAAGGATTTTCTTTCAATTTTTCGCCTTCTCGTTTTTAGATTTTCCAGTTTTTCAACTTTTCGGAATTAATTTTTCAGTTTTGAATTTTCCTCTTTTTAAATTTTTAACCTAGTCTTCAATTTCTCAATCTTTCGATTTTTCTACTTCTGGAGCTTTTGAAGATTCGATTTCGCGATCTTTCAATTTTTCAAGTTTTCGGAATTAATTTTTCACCTTTAAATAAATTTTAAATAAACCTATTATTATTATTAATCGATTTTTTAATTTTCTGATGTCTCAATTTTCGATTTCTTTGTAAAGTTTTGGGATTTTTGAGTACTGCGAATTTTCAAGATTTCGAGTTTTAAATTTTTAAATTTTTCGACATTCTGTTTTTTTGATTTTTTACTTACTCGATTTTTCAAAATTTAGTGAGTTTTTAAATCTTACATTTTACAACATTTTCTTCTATTCTATATTTTAATTTTTGGATTTTTGGATTTTTAAAATTCTTTTTATACTTTTCGGTTTTTCATGTTTTCGGAATTAATTTTTCAGTTTTTCGATGTTTCGATTTTTCGCTTTTGTTTGTCGGGCTTTTTAAGTTAAAATTTTCCTATTTTTCGATTTTTAACCTTGTTTTCCATTTCTCAACTTTTCGATTTTTCGACTTCTTGATCTTTTGATGTTTAGATTTCGCGATTTTTCAATTTTTCGATTTCTATTTCTCATTTTTTCGATAATAATTCATCTTTTCGATTTTTCTATTATTTAGCGTTTCAGGTTTTTGGGTTTATGCATTTAAATTTTTCGATTTTTCAAGTTTTGGGGTTTCTAAATTTTTGGATTTTTCGATTTCTCAATTTCTAGAATTTTCTTATTAGATCTTTTAATTTTACAACTTTCGATATTTTGCTTTCCGACTTCTCGATTTCTCAGTTTTTCGACTTTCAAAATTTCAATGTTCAACTTTGTGATTTTTTTGGAATTTTTCAATATGTATTTCGCTTTTACAATTTTAGAATGTTTGACTTTCTGTTTTTGATTGTTTACTTTTTCGATTTTTCAAAATTTTGCGATTTTTTAAGTCTTACATTTTTCGATTTTTCAATTTTTTGATTTTTCGATTATGTACTTTTCAATTTTCCAAATTTTTAAATTTTAGATGATACGATTTCCCGATTTTTCATTTTTCGATTTCGGTTTCCGGATTTCTCAGTTTTTCGATAATTCATCTTTTCAATTTTCCAACTTTTCAACATTCAGTTTTGGGATTTATGTATTTACTATTTAAATTTTATGATTTTCCAATTTTTCATTTTTGGCGTTTTCAAATTTTTGGGGTTTCCGGTTTCTCAATTTCTTGATTAATGAATTTTTTAATTTTTCGGCTTTTCGATTTTTTGTCTTTCCGATTTCGCGATTTTTCAATTTTTCGATTTCCATTTCTGGATTTCTCAGTTTCTCGATAATTCATCTTTTTGATTTTTCCATTTTTCAATTTTTCAACGTTTTAGTTTTGAGAATAATGTATTTAAATTTTTCGATTTAGATTTTTCAATTTTTAGCGTTTCTAAATTTTTGAATTTTTCGATTTCGCAATTTCTCGATTAATGGATTTTTTCATTTTTTGACTTTTCGATTTTTCGTTTTCCCGATTTCTCAATTTCTCAATTTATCGATTTTCAAATTTTCAGTGTTCCAGTTTTGAAATTTTTCAATTTTGGGGCTTTCAGATATGTATTTTGATTTTTTAATTTTTAGATTTTTCGACTTTGTTTTTTGATTTTGTACTTATTCGATTTTTCAAAATTTTGCGATTTTTTAAATCTTACGTTTTTTGATTTTTCGATTCGTTGGTTTGATTTCTCGAATTTTTAAATTTTGGATTTTTCACTTTTTTGTTGTTTAAATTTCTGTCTTTCGATTTTCGCCTTCTCACTTTTCGATTTTTCGATTTTCCAATTTTCAATGTTTCAGTTTTGGGAATTATGGATTTGTTTTTGTCTAATGGATTTTTCAATTTTTCGACTTTTCTATTTTTCGTCTTTCCGATTTCTCGATTTCTCAACTTTTCGATTTTCAAATGTTCAAGTTTTGGGATTTTCCAATTTTGGGCTTTTTCGATATGTATTTCGATCTTTAAATTTTTAGATTTTTCGACTTTTTACTTATTTTTGAAAATCTTATGATTTTTTAAACCTTACATTTTTCGATTGTTCAATTTTTTGATTTCACGATTTTGTAAATTTTCGAATTTATAAATTTTAATTTTTCACTTTTTTGTTGTTTCAATTTCACAGAATTAATTTTTCGATTTTTCAATTTTTCGGAAGTAATTTTTGGAATTTTCAATTTTTCAGTTTTTCAATGTTCAGATTTTTCAGTTTTTTGATTTCGATTTCTCGATTTCTCAGTTTTTCGATAGTTCATCTTTTCGATTTTTCAATTTTCCAATTCGTTTTAAATTTTATTATTAATTTTTCGACTTTTCTATTTTTCGTCTTTCCAATTTCTCGATTTCTCAACTTTTCGATTTTCAAATTTTCAATGTTCAAGTTTTGGAATTTTCCAATTTTGGGTTTTTTCGATATGTATTTCGATTTTTAGATTTTTCGACTTTTTACTTTTTCTTTGAAAATTTTGCGATTTTTTAAACCTTACATTTTTCGCTTTTTCAATTTGATTTCCCGATTTTGTAAATTTTTGAATTTATAAATTTTAGATTTTTCACTTTTTTGTTGTTTCAATTTCTCAGTCTTTCTGTTTTTTGCCTTCTCATTTACAGATTTTTCGATTTTTCAATTTTTCGGAATTAATTTTTCAGTTTTTCAATGTTCAGATTTTTCAATTTTTTGATTTCGGTTTCTCGATTTCTCAGTTTTTCGATAGTTCATCCTTTCGATTTTTCAATTTTCCAATTCGTTTCAAATTTTATTATTAATTTTTCGACTTTTCTATTTTTCGTTCCAATTTCTCGATTTCTCAACTTTTCGCTTTTCAAATTTTCAATGTTCAAGTTTTGGAATTTTCCAATTTTGGGCTTTTTCGATATGTATTTCGATTTTTAGATTTTTCGACTTTTTTTTTGAAAATTTTGCGATTTTTTAAACCTTACGTTTTTCGATTTTTCAATTTTTTGATTTCCCGATTTTGTAAATTTTTGAATTTATAAATTTTAGATTTTTCACTTTTTTGTTGTTTCAATTTCTCAGTTTTTCAATATTTCAATTTTTCAATTTTTCGACTTCGCGATTTATCGATATTTCGATTTCGCGTTTTTCCTATTTTTAGATTTCCATTTCTGGATTTCTGTTTTTCGATAATTCATCTATTTGACTTTTCCATTTTCCAATTTTTCAAAGTTTCAGTTTTGGGAATTATGTACATCTTTAAACTTTTCGATTTCAATTTTTCAATTTTGGCGTTTCTTTTGGATTTTTTAATTTCTCGATTTCTCAATTTTTCGATTAATCGATTTTTTAATTTATTGATTTTTTGTTTGCTCAATTTTTCGACTTTGTTTTTTGATTTTTTACATTTTTCGATTTTTCAAATTTTCCATTCGTTGATGTTTTGATTTCTCGATTTTGTAAATTTTCAGTCAGTCTGCCGATTTTTTGCCTTCTCATTTTTCGATTTTTCAATTTTTCGGAATTATTTTTCAGTTTTTCGAATTTCGATTTTTTCCACTTAACGGGTTTTTAAGTTTGAATTTTTCAATTTTGAATTTTCCCATTTTTCGATCTTTAGCTATTTCGATATGCCAATTTTTCGATAATTCAGTTTTTCGATTTTTCGATTTTCCAATTTTCAACGTTTCTAAACTTTATTATTAATGGATTTTTTAATTTTTCCACTTTTCTATTTTTCGTCTTTCCAATTTCTCGATTTCTCAACTTTTCGATTTTCAAATTTTCGATGTTCAAGTTTTGGAATTTTCCAATTTTGAGCTTTTTCGATATGTATTTCGAATTTTAGATTTTTCGACTTTTTTTTTTTTAATTTAGCGATTTTTTTAAACGTTACGTTTTTCGATTTTTCAATTTGATTTCCCGATTTTGTAAATTTTTGAATTTATAAATTTTAGATTTTTCACATTTTTATTGTTTCAATTTTTCGATTTTTCGACTTCTTGATTTATCGATATTTCCATTTCGCAATTTTTCCCATTTTTCGATTTCCACTTCTGGATTTCTGTTTTTCGATAATTCATCTTTTTGACTTTTCCATTTTCCAATTTTCCAACGTTTCAGTTTTGGGAATTATATACATATTTAAACCTTTCGATTTAAATTTTTCAATTTTGGCGTTTCTTTTGGATTTTTCAATTTCTCGATTCCTCAATTTTTCGATTAATCGATTTATTAATTTTTTGATTTTTTGTTTGCTCGATTTTTCAAAATTTTGCGAGTTTTTAGACCTTACATTGTTCACCATTTCCATATATTCGACATTTTAATTTATTTCTCCTTCAAAAACGAAACATCGCATATTTAAAAAAAAAGACGCTAGGAGCCCCTAAGATTCTGTAAAATTGTTTCCCAATAAAGAACTCCACGGATCCTCGAGAATTTTTAAAAGTAGTTTAAAAACAAAATTATATTTACTTGTTTAAACTCCATTAATTCACTTTCAAAGTATTTTCTGAATTGAAAATATTTTATTGTGTGATACTACAACACAGTTTCTACTCAGTACTTCTCATAGTATTTCCACTCTAGCAAAATTTTGACACTGTCTTGTTTCATGCAATATTAAAGAAAACCGATACTCTGGGTGATTTCTAGACGAACGAAATCAGTTTTTCAATTAAAATAACAAAAAAAAAAACAATAATAAAAAGCACTTGGACATAACCTCACTTTTAATACGTTGACTACAAACGACACCACAATTCAGCTCAACATAAACAAAACCCGCTACAAATCATAAAACACAACATAAAAACCGTCTACAATCCAAAAATAACTCAAAAACTAATACAAAATTTCACATACCAGTAAGGTTGGCAGCCCTGAATCCACTAACAATCAAATTAACGTTGGTAACACAAACCCAAAGACAAGCTAACCGCGATCTGTCATTCGCATAACCTGCAGCTTAAAACCCGTCAAAAGTTACCAAAAATTCGTTAATTGCACCATTTTAAGACCCAGATTCCACAAAAGAACAAAAATGCCGACTTCACTATCCAGTACCGCGGAATTTAACGACGCAATCAAGTAAGTATCGCTTTTCTAAAGTCAGCCCTTGCAGCCCCCATTTGCAGAAGCTCAGACCTAAGCGTAGTCCACTTCGCCGCCGACTGGGCCGAACAGTGCGGCCAAGTCGACGACTTCCTCCACGCCATGTCCAAGCGCCCCGAATATTCCAATGTGCACTTCTACACATGCCAAGCCGAAAACCTCGACGCGGTGGCCGCCAAGTACACAATCACAGCCGTACCCACGGTCCTGCTGTTCCGGTGGAACGCGTTGCTTGACCGGGTGAACGGAGTGGACCCCTCTAAAATCGCCGAAACAGTGAAAAAATTCATTCCGAAAGTACCGCTTGAAGAGCGTCTCAAAGCGCTCATAAATAGGTCTCCTGTTATGGTTTTTATGAAGGGGGATCGGCTCGCCCCGAAGTGTGGGTTTAGTGGTAAATTGATAGGTTATTTGGAGGGTTTGGAGTAAGTTTTAGGTTTGGTTGTTCGTTGGTTTAGTGGGTTTGTTTCAGTGCGACGTACGACACTTTTGATATATTGACGGACGACGAGGTGCGTCAAGGGTTGAAGACTTACTCGGACTGGCCGACGTACCCCCAGCTTTACATCAAGGGGGAGCTGATCGGTGGTGTGGACATTGTCAAGGAGTTGATGGTGTGCGGGGATTTGGCTGATATGTTGAAAGTTTAAGGTTTGTGTTAGTCTGATTAATAAAGTCATCACGTTGAGGGTGTTTTTTTGTCCTTTGGGATGTTGTAGAGGAATGAAATAAATATCATTTCCAAATAATCTTTATTAATTATTCTAATAGTACATAACTCAAACTAAGAAGAATACAAATGTTAAAAAAACTACGAGTGTAGTTCAAGATGTACAATATACAAGTGATTTTAGGATAAATATAGATAAATGTAAAATAAAACCAACGGCAAACAGCTTTTAACATTTGCGAATTTTGATTGGTTGACTTAAATAATTAATTAATTAAAAGAAACTGTTTCCTTTTAAATATGGATTAATTACGTTCGTTCCTAGTTACTTTCCTTGCCCACTCGATTACCGACGAATACTACAGTGTAAATATCATCCAAACCTATCTATAAAGGCATCTTGGTTTTTAAAATAAACGTTATGTACACATTTCGCGTTACACCATGATATGCAAGCGCAAAGATAAGTATTGTAGAAAAAATATGTAAAACCTTCTTTTAATAACCTCGATAAAAAAAAAAATACAGTAAGTAGAAAAACGAATTGTATAACTTTTATATACACAATAAGGAAGCACCAGGCCAATAAAACGTGCACGATGTTTTACAATCACGGTAGTATCAAAAGGGATCAATTCGGATATTCCAACTTATTTAAAAAGATTAATAGTTTTGTGTAGCCCGTTAACCAAATGGCACTAAAATTAGAAGATAACTACCATTACTTGGAATGCGTTTAAGCAATGTTAGAAGTTGTAAATAACAAATGAAATGAATAGTCGCGAACATTAACAGATCTGATTTTTCGTTCATTATATATATATCATATCACATTTCTACTAACAAAAATTACTTTCAACAGACAAAATAAACAAGACTTTGAAAATATTGGAACTAAGATTTCAAAATTCTAAGGCCACTTAAATGAGCACTTCTTATCTTACAGAGGGACTTAAATGTAAGTAAACCAAACTTAAATTTAATAACATGATCTCTCGGATTGAGCATTGAAAGGTTGTTTAATAATAATTAATTGTGGAATTTTGATTTAGCAAACTTATTTTAGTTGAGAAATTGACTGATTTACATGTTTTCGAATTGGTCCACGCGACGCTTAGTGTTGCCTTTACGTATCTCGCGGAGGGTTTTGTATTTGTCTCGGCCTTGGCGCACGTTCTCTCGGTGGATCTTGTCCATGGCAGTTTCTTTTGTTTCGTCTCGGGACTGGGCGAGGTCTTTCTTCAACGCCTGAAATACAACAAAAATTACATCAATAATTATTTTCCTTTTCATTATTTTGTAAGATTTTTTAAACCCAATAAGATAAATGTCACTTTTCATTAGGGATTTTTGCGTATACGAAAATGGTTGCCAACCAAATTACTAGATTTGCATGGCCTGCTCAAAGTTTCTCAATTTAAACCTGTAATTGTGACGTTTCCAATTGTCTAACTTTGTTTTCAAGAAGTATAGACACAGAAGTACAGTTTCGGCCAGAAAATCTTGGGCACTATTTTTCTGTCACTTAAAAAATAAATTTTGACATACGTCATCATCCACGTTCCAGTCTATGTCAAAATGACAAACATGGCAAATTTGAGGTTATAACTACGTAAAGCCTGTTTTAGAGCTAACGTCACTGGAATAACAGAACTGCCCAAGATTTTGTGGCCGAAACTGTACAAATTTTCCACCCCATCAGTGTCGGATTGCGGACATGGAGGGCCACCGGGAAATTTACAAAGTGAGACCCTGTACAGATGTTGTATGGGTATAATTGTGGAAGGTTATTTCGACAGAACTTCCTTTGCTTTTGAAGTACAAATGTGATAACTGTTAACCTCTATAATGGCGTAATTAACATTCCCGCAACCCCTACGTCATCAGTATTTGCTAAGATAAAACTGATTTTGGCAGATGGCATACCCTCTAAAAAACGAGAGGGGGTGGGGGGTGGGCGGGGCTAGTAGCTGCTAAGATAAGACTGATTTTGGCCAATGACATATAGAATCATTGTAACTCCACCAAAATGTGAGAAGAATTTTTTTTTACTATTTGTCCCATTTTCCAGACACCCAGTATATTATATAAAAGGAAATATCCCGACTGACCTATCATACTGGAGGCATCGTTTACGAAGGGAATTCCCGAAATTCATCCCCTAAGGGGGTGTAAAGGGATGCTAAAATTTGTATAAGACCAATATTTCTAGTCCAAATTTAAATTTTTACGTGAAACTTGGTATTAGTGTTCTTCACACAAATAGTGAAACACGCATTTCAGCATTTTTCGAGATTCAACCCTTAAGATTATTATTAGGGGTGTGGCTAAGTTTGCATGGGAAAAATATTTCCACTGTAAATTTTTGACGTGGAATTTAGTATTAAAATACTCTTTAACACAAACAATGAAACACGTGCTTCAGATTTTTTTGAGACTCCACCCCGAAGAAGATGAAAGGGGGTGACAAAGTTTCGGCAAAAATGTAAGACTAACGATTTGCCATGTTTCAAATAATCTTAAAATATTTGCACGATATCACAGCATTCGGTTTCACAATATAATTTCAAAGTTAAATTGTAAAACGTTACACAATTTTCGTTTTTTTCCCCCAAAAATCTGGATGTCTAGGGTGAAAACTCAACACGGATTTTGACGTTGGTGTTTTTTTTTTTATTTTTTTTATGAAAATCTCAGTCAGCGGTTTCTAATCAAAATCTTTAGAAATCCACAACTTAAAAATGGGGTGAAACGTTAAAAAATGCGTTTAAAAAAATTCACGACCAAAATTGACTTTTTTATTTTTTCTTCTCAAGGCTCCCAACTGACTTTTTTAAAATGTAAAACCTTCTCGGGGGCACCAAATGTTTTTTTTTATGTGAAACCTTAGAAATCGAGATTTTTGGAAAAAAGTCACAATTGTAGATGTCAATTTTTCTAATTTTCTATTTTTGACGTTTCTAAATTTTTAATTTTTGATTTACCAATTTTCTATTAATCGATTTTTTGTTTTTTCGACTCTTCGATTTCTTGATTTTTCAGTTTTTCGATTTTTTAAATTTTTCGATAATTTCAGATTTGGGGTTCTTTTTTTTTTTGATTTCTTGATTTCTCGGTTCTTCGATTTTTCTAATTCAGTTTTTCGAATTTTTAAATTTTACATTTTCCAGTTTAATTCAGCTTCCGTATTTCGATTTCGCAATTTTTTGTTTTTCGATGTTTCAGTTTTTCAATTTTTTCAATTATTCAACTTTTCGGTTATTCCATTTTCCAAATTTTCGATATTTAGATTTTTCAATTCTTCGATTTCTCGATGTTTCCTCATACCAATTTTGGAATTTTTCAATTTCTCGATTTTTCAATTCTCGATGTTACTAAATTTCCAATTTTTCTATTAACCAATTTTTTGGTTTTTCGACTTTTCGATTTTTCGATTTTTCAGTTTTTCCAGTCTTCGATTTTTGATTTTTTCGAATTTTTTAGTTTTAGTTAGGATTTTCGATTTTTAAAATTTTTCGACTTTTCGATTCCTCAACTTTTCAAGATTTCAATTTTGGGAATTTTTCAATTTCTGGGTTTTTTAATTTTCCGATTTTCTAATTTATGAATGTTGCTATTTTTCAATTTTTCGAATTCCCAATTTTTCCTTATTTTAGTTTTAGAATTTTTCAATTTTTAGACGTTTCGATTTCTCAATTTTTCAGTATTTTAATTTTTCACTTTTACGATTTTTTGTGATTCGATGTTTTGACACCTTAGTTTTTCTATTTTTAAAATGTTTCTACTTTTCGATATTTCGAGTTTTCGAGTTCTCAATTTTCAACACTTCAATTTTGGAATTTTTCAATTTTTTGAGATCTCGGTTTTTCGATTTTTCAATTATTCCATTATTCCATTTTTAGACGTTTCGATTTCTCGATTGGAGGCGCTAAAATGTCTTTTTAATTATAAGAATATGAAACCTTGTCAGGGGTCTCAACTGTCTTTTTTAAAAATGTAAAACCTTCTGGGGGACCCCAAAGGCTTTTTTTTTTATGTGAAACCTTAGAAATCGAGATTTTTGGAAAAAAAAATAAAAATTGTAGATATGTCAATTTTTCGATTTCTCAATTCTTCTAATTTTCTATTTTTGACGTTTCTAAATTTTCAATTTTTGATTTCTCAATTTTGTATTACAGTAGCGTCCGGTTATAATGAACTCAAAAAATGTAACAAAACTAGTTCATTATATCCGAAGTTCACTATTAACGGAAAAATAAAAACTGCGTTTGTTTAAATTCAATTTACTTCAATTCTACGTTGGGAACAATTCAAAAAATATTTCTTGGTTTATAAACTAAAAATAAAAAAAAACATAGCTATTTATGTAATTACATATAACAAGACGTCACATAAACACAAGTCTACTTGACAAAATCAGTTATTTTTGTCTGTACATATCTATTAGAAAAGTGAATGTCACTAATATAGCGTTCGAGGTTGCAAAAGCTGTTCCATATAGGCTCCGGAACAGTGCGCGATTCTAAAAAGTTGCGAGTCTCTGCCATTTTTTGCGCCATTTCATTAAGAGAAGGAACATAAACATCAACATCTTCATCAGACTCATTTTCCTCACCCTCGGCCTCGTCACTTGTTGCCATGACTGATGTCACTGATTCTATAATCTGCTCGTCAGTTAGTCTTTCTGTTACCGTTATGTCGTTATCAATTTCCACATATTCTTCAAAATTAAATTCCCCGATTTTCTCTTGCACTGCAATTTCAATTGCATTATCCACATCTGTGAAAATAAGTCCAGGATCATCTTCATGTTTTTTTAACCATTCTGTTAGGGGAAGCTCATCGTCTGCATCAAATTCAGCACTTTTTTCAGAAAATCCTCCATGCTTGAAACAGTTTGCTATTGTATCTTTGCTAACCTTTTGCCAAGCCATGTGAATAAAATTTACAGCATCTAAAATGCTAACTGAAAATGTTTTTCCGTTGTCCATAGCCTCTATCATCTGCGCGAGTAAAATTTTCCTATAATGGCTCTTTAATGAATGAATTACACCTTGATCCATCGGTTGTAATTTTGAACTCGTATTCGGTGGCATAAAAACTAATTTAATTTGGTTTAGTTTAATCTCAGGGTGAGCTGTACAGTTATCAACTAAAAGTACAATTTTCCTATTTTTTTGTTTTAATTGTTCATCCCATTCAAGCAGTTCATTTGTGAAAATTTCAGAGGTCATCCACGCGTTACGGTTTGATTTGTATTTTACGGGCAATTGTTTATTTTTGAAACATCTAGGATTGGCAGATTTGCCTATAACCAACAATTTCCTTTTTTCTGTTCCAGACATATTGGCAGCTACTAAAACTGTAATCCTCAATTTAGATAACTTTCCTCCAGCACAACTTTCTCCCACAAATTTTAAAGTCTTATCAGGAGTCATTTGATAAAAGAGCCCTGTCTCATCAGCGTTAAAAATGTCTTCACTGTCATAGTTTTTCCGAATATGAGGCCAAACATTAGTTAACCAGTCATTAACAACATTCAAATCTACTGCTGCAGACTCACCCACAATTTTTCCTGTTCGGATATTATGTCTTCTTTTAAAACGTTCAATCCAACTTTTAGAACACTTGAAGTCTTTGTTTTCGATTTTACTACCCATTTCATTAGCTTTTTCTTGTAGAATAATACCACTTACAGGAACGTTTTCTTGTCTTTTTTGTGTAAACCACTTAAGAAGCCCTTGATCCATTTCATGGTGCTTTGATTTTCTCATTTTTTTACACGTAGAATTTCCCTGACCATACGCTGATAAAATGGCTTCTCTTTGCTTCCATATCATAGAAACAGTGGATTTTATCAAGTTCATTTCCTGGCTAACATCGCGTTGTTTAACACCACTTTGTATTTTTTGTATAATATCATACTTGTCCTTTAAGGTTAGAGCTTTACGTTTTTGTTTTTCCATTTCGAACAATGTTATTACACAAGTAAGTACTTATGTAGCGCTACTTCGACACAGTGACCAAGAATCGACTGGCACAGAAAGCAAGTTGGTGGGGAAATGCGTAGCGCGTAAATCAGGGAATCCCCGAAAAGTTCATTATAAACGGAAAACTGCACTTTATTTTGAATAATATTTAGTTCATTTTATCCGAAAGTTCATTACAAGCGGATTCAGTGGTTCATTATAACCGAAAAAAAATACATTAGATATATGGAAAAAATTTCGTTACTTGAAATACAGTACACTATAGCCGGAAGTTCATTACAAGCGGGTTCATTATAACCGGACAATACTGTAATCGATTTGTTTTTTCCACTTTTCGATTTCTGGATTTTTCAGTTTTTCTATTTTTCGATTCTTTAATACATATTTAGATTCCTCAATTTTTCGACTTTCCGATTTTTAATTTTTCGATAATTTCAGTTTTTGATTTCTTGATTTCTCAGTTCTTCGATATTTCTATTTCAATTTTTCGAATTTTTAAATTTTACCTTTTCCAGTTTTTTAATTTTTAAAATTATTCATTATTCGATTCTTCAATTTTTCGGTTTTTAGATTTATGAATTTTTTTTTTATTTTAAGGGTCAGCTTATAGAATATTTTAATTGAGATTAAGTTAATCACGCATTTAATGAGGCTTTTAACGACTTCTGATTGGCGTTGCGTCGATCACGTGGTGCCGGATTAAAAATTTATTTGCAATCAAATATTTAATTCAGCTTCCGTATTTCGATTTGGCAATTTTTCGTTTCTCGATGTTTCAGTTTTTTCAATTCTTCGATTTCTCCATGTTTCTAAATTTTCAATTTCTCTATTAATCAATTTTTTGATTTTTCAGTTTTTCCAGTCTTCAGTTTTTCGATTTTTGAATTTGTCAAATTTTCGATTTGATGATGTTTCGATTTCTCGTTTTTTCAATTTTTGAATAACCTTGACTTGTCAATTTTTAAAATCTCCAACTTTCGATATCAATTTTTCAATTTTTTGATTTCTCAATTTCTCTATTAATCGATGTTTTGGTTTTTCGACTTTTCGATTTCTCGATTTTTCAGTGTTTCCAGTCTTCAGTTTTTCTTCAATTTTCGAATTTTTCGATATTTCAGTTTCGGGATTTTTCAATATTTTGACTATTCATTTTTTCGAATTTTTTACTTTCCGATTTTTGTTCAATTTGTCAAATTTTCGATTTGATGATGTTTCGATTTCTCGTTTTTTCAATTTTTGGATAACCTTGATTTTTCAATTTTTAAAATTTCCAATTTTCGATATCAATTTTTCAATTTTTTGATTTCTCAATTTCTCTATTAATCCATGTTTTGGTTTTTCGACTTTTCGATTGTTCCATTCTTCAATTTCTCGATTCAATTTTTCTGTTTTTTAATTTTTCAGTTTATTGGTGCGATTTCTTGAGTTAGGATTTTCGATTTTTAAAATATTTCTACTTTTCGATTCCTCAACTTTTCAATACTTCAATTTTGGGAATTTTCCAATTTCTGGGTTTTTTAATTTTCCTATTTTCTCATTTTTGAATGTCGCGATTTCGCAATTTTTCGTTTCTCGATGTTTCAGTTTTTCAATTTTTTCAATTGTTCAACTTTTCGGTTATTCATTTTCAATTTTCGATGTTCAGATTTTTCAATTCTTCGATTTCTCGATGTTTCCTCATATCAGGTTTGGAATTTTTCAATTTCCCGATTTTTCATTTCTCGATGTTTCTAAATTTTCAATTTCTCTATTAATGAATTTTTTGGTTTTTCGACTTTTCGATTTTTCAATTTTTCCAGTCTTCAGTTTTTCTTCGATTTTTGAATTTTTCTTTCGATATAAATTTTTCAATATTTGAGTACTTTTATTCCTCAATTTTTCGTTTTACAACTTTTGACGTTTCCAAATTTTCAATTTTTTGATTTCTCAATTTCTCTATTAATCGATGTTTTGGTTTTTCGACTTTTCGATTTTTCCATTCTGCAATTTCTCGATTCAATTTTTCTGTATTTTAATTTTTCAATTTTTTGATTCGATTTCTTGACAGTTAGGATTTTCAATTTTTAAAATTTTCCGATTTTCTAATTTTTGAATGTTGCGATTTTTCAATTTTTCGAATTCCCAATTTTTCTTTATTTTAGTTTTGGAATTTTTCAATTTTTAGACGTTTCGATTTCTCAATTTTTCAGTATTTTAATTTTTCACTTTTACGATATTTTGACACCAAAGTTTTTCTGTTTTTAAAATGTTTCTATTTTTCGATGTTTCAAGTTTTCGAGTTCTCAATGTTCAACATTTCAATTTTAGAATTTTTCAATTTTTTGATTTCTCGATTTTTCGATTTTTCAATTATTCCATTTTCAGACGTTTCGATTTATCGATTGGGGGTGCCAAATGTCTTTTTTTTAAGAATGTAAAATCTTCTCACGGGTCTCAACTGTCTTTTTTAAAAATTTAAAACCTTCAAATGGTTTTTTTTTTAATGTGAAACCTTAGAAATCGAGATTTTTGGGAAAAAAATCAAAATTGTTGATATGTCAATTTTTCGAATTCTCAATTTTTCTAATTTTCTATTTTTGACGTTTCTAAATTTTCAATTTTTGATTTCCCAATTTTCTATAAATCGACTTTTTGTTTTTTCGACTCTTCAATTTCTGGATTTTTCAGTTTTTCTATTTTTCGGTTCTTTAATATTTAGATTCCTCAATTTTTGATTTTCGATTGTTCAATTTTTCTGTTTTTAGATTTGTCGATTTTCTTTTTATTTTAAGGGCCAATTTATAGAATATTTTAATTGAGATTAAGTTAATCACGTTAATGAGGCTTTTAACGACTTGTGATTGGCGTAGAGTCGATCACGTGGTGCCGGATTAAAAATTTAATTGCAATCAAATATTTAATTCAGCTTCCGTATTTCGATTTCGCAATTTTTCGTTTCTCGATGTTTCAGTTTTTCAATTTCTCCAGTCTTCAGTTTTTCTTCGATTTTTGAATTTTACGATATTTCAGTTTCGGGCTTTTTCAATATTTCGATTATTCAATTTTTAGAATTTTTTACTTTCCGATTTTTCAATTTGTCAAATTTTCGATTTGATGATGTTTCGATTTCTCGTTTTTTCAATTTTTGGATAATCTTAATTTTTCAATTTTTAAAATTTCCAACCTTCGATATCAATTTTTTATTGAGTATTTTTATTCCTCAATTTTTCGTTTTTCAACTTTTGACGTTTCCAAAATTTTCAAATGTTTTGATTCGATTAAGATTTTCGATTTTAAAAAATTTTCGACTTTTCAATTCCTCAACTTTTTTTCCGATTTTCTAATTTTTGAATGTTGCGATTAGTCGAATTTTTCGAATTCCCAATTTTTCCTTATTTTAGTTTTGGAATTTTTCAATTTTTAGACGCTTCGATTTCTCAATTTTTCAGTATTTTAATTTTTCATTTCACGATTTTTTGATTCGATGCCAAAGTTTTTCTATTTTTAAAATGTTTCTACTTTTCGACGTTTCAAGTTTTCGAGTTCCCAATTTTCAACATTTCAATTTCGGAATTTTTAAATTTTTTGATTTCTCGGTTTTTCAATTATTCTATAGCCCCTAGAAAACACGTAATATCGCCACCGTGGAGCAAACCCGACGTAAACTTAACAAAAACAAAAAACCTACTGACCCCATTTGACAGACCGCGAAATTTAAAACGGTTTTATGTTGGATTTAAAGTTTGTAGTTTATACACAAAATTTGGATTTTTAATTTGAATAAAATCCAAAAATGTGTTGATTAGATAAATATAAATATTAATAAAATATAAATTTAATCAATAAAATCTTATTTAGTAGGAGTATTTATTAGTTAACTCTCTGCTGACAAAATTTGGTTCTAAACCTGGGGAATTTTTTGCGTTACCAACTGCATTTTCTCCACTCGCACAACAATATTTCAAGGGTCTATAAATTATTCCATTTTCAGACGTTTCGATTTCTCGATTGGGGGCGCCAAATGTGTTTTTATTTTCAAGAATGTGAAACCTTCTCGGGGATTCCAACTGTTTTTTTTTTTAATGTAAATCCTTCTCGGGGGCCCCAAATGTCTTTTTTAAGAATGTGAAACCTTCTCAGTGGTCCCAACTTTCTACATTTAAAATGTAAAACCTTCTCGGGGGTGCCAAGTGTTTTTATTTTTTAATGTGAAACCTTCTCAGGGGTCCCACCAATCTTTTAAAAATGTAAAACCTTCTCGGGGGCGCCAAATGTCTTTTTTTTAAGAATGTGAAACCTTGTCGGGGGTCCCAACGGCCTTTTTTTAAATGTAAAACCTTTTCGGGGGTCCCAAATGTCTTTTTTTATGTGAAACCTTCTCGGGGGTCTCCCAACTGTCTTTTTAAAATGTAAAATCTTCTCGGGGGCGCCAAATATATTTTTTTTTAATGTGGAACCTTCTCGGGGGTCCCAATTGTCGTTTTTAAAAATGTAAAACTTTCTCGGGGGCCGCAAATGTATTTTTTTTTAAATGAAACCTTCTCAGTGGTCCCAACTTACTATTTTTAGAATGTAAAACCTTCTCGGGGGCCCCAAGTGTCTTTTTTTTAATGTAAAACCTCGGGAACCCCAAATGTATCAAGTTGGCCTTACATCTCGAAAACAAATGTAGCAAAAAATTTTTTTTTGACGAATAATCATAGCACACCTAGATTTAACCGTTTCCCTACATTCTAGCAACCCTGTATAAATTTTCCACCCCCACCACTTACCAGCAACTGATCGTGCAGACGCTCGTTGCGCTCGGCCAGCGTGCGTCTATCCTCCACCGGATCCACGATATTCTCATCCGTAGCCAAATCCTTGCTCACATCCCCATTCACCAACTCGTCATCCTCGTCGTGATTGTTCTCTTCCAAGTGCCCCTTGGTGGCGTTCGCCATCTGCTGCGCCTTCAGCTCCTCCTCCTTGCGGCGCGCCGCCTCCACCTCCTCCTGCAGACGCTTGGTCTCGCTGTCCTTCGCCTCCACCTCCTCCTGGATTCTCTGCACCTCCAGCTGCTTGGCCATGATCTCGTCCTCCAGCTTCTGGCGCTCGGCCGCCTCCAAATTCTTGCTCTCCTCCAGACGCTCCATCATCTGCTGCAGCTCGTTCTGCCGCTTCTCGAGCTCCTCCTTGGCGGCCTGCAGCTGCTTGAGTTGCTCCTCGAGGCGTCTGATCATCTCCTGCGCCTCCTGGAGGTTGGCTTGGCTGCGCTCCATCTCTTCCTGCATCGCCTTGATCCTGTCCTCATACTCCTGCTGCTTCTTCTCGGCGCGTTCGCGGGCCGCGATTTCCAGCTGGAGCTTCTCTCTTTGTTGCTGTTTGGCTAGTTTTTCCTCGCGAGCTTGGGCCTTCATTTGCTGCACGTCGATCGTGTCGGGCTTTCTGCGGCGCATGTACAACTCGTGATTTCCCATGCACAGAGATAAAATTCGTTTGTTTATTCGAACGCGAGGCGCGAAAAATACGAAATCTGGCGCCTTCTTGTCGATGGGCTTAATGATGAATTTGCGGTCGTTGAACGAGATGTTGCGGATTTCCGACCAAGGAAAGCCGATTTTTGGGGTTAATCTGAAATTGAAATTCGCCAAGATGCTCAAATTTTGAAATTGACCCTTACCTATCGTCTTTTTCGTATATATTCAAGCCTAGGGCGTCGACGCCCAAGTACAACTCCGTCCCTTTTTTGTTACGGATTTCGAAGTAGTTGACGCCGTACATTTCCAAATCTTGGGCGATTTTCAGATACTCCATCATCGTGTCCTCGCGAAGCATGCCACGGTGTTCCTTCCACCAGGTCATGATGCTCTGTTCCCACTCCTCTTTGGACATTTTGTGTTGATCCATAACTCTGGAAACGGGCATTTTTATCCGGTAAAGATATTCTGCTCAGTATAATATTTTTTCGACAAGTTACCTTTACCGATATATTATACAATTGTTCAGTGGAAAATATAAATGTCATATAACAAATTTTTGTCACAGTAACTAATTTTAACGATATGTTTTTATCATGGAAGTTATGTATATTATTCATTTTGTTCAGTAAATAAAACTATTGTCCTGTAAAAATAACGAAAGCTTAGTTAAAAATTTTTGGGATCGATCACACTCAATGCTCAACACAGCTAAGTTGGTTAATCGTTTTTAACTCATCCTGCTTCGCAAATACGATTTAATTAATTTTAATTTAGAAAAAGATCTTTCTGCTGTTAAAAAATTATTGTCCATAAACAGAAACTTGGCAATATCTGTAATTTTAGTTATTTTTTGCTGAATAATTTCACCAACAACAATGTTTTTAAAACTAACGATTTGCCCACAGATTGCACTAGAAATATCTTCTTCGTATTTATTTGCCAACTTTGATGCTGCCTCCACAAATTCTTCGTCTGTACTATTCAACATTTCCTGTGGTTCCAGAAAAGAAAAATAGTTTCTGACGTTTTTCATGCTTTCAAACCTATCTTTAATTTGAATGTTTAAAATATCAAGAGTAGGATAGAAAACGGTTGTTTTAAATTTTTCAGTGGGATCTTTGAAAACGGTATTTTCACATAATTCGTCATGAAACAGTTTCACTTTTTTTATACGTTTATTTGAAAAAGAATTGTTAATTTTCCAGGTATCAGCACATTTCCTTGATTCCTCCATTATTTGTTCAAAATTGTCACGTATACTTTGAAATTTGTCTTTTAGATGTTCCATCCATTTACAAGCCTCATCTAAAGTCATATTTGAACTCTGTAAAGTTTTTGAGACCAAATTAACATTTTCTAAAATTTTGCATTGAAATACTAATAGAGCAACAAATTCAAATGAATCCATTTTTTTACGAAGAGCTACAGCTTCATCTATTTCATTTTTCTTTTTTGATGTTAAAATAATTTCAGCTCATAACTGTTGAGAGATTATATCTAATGGCAATTAGAGAATTAAATCTCGATGACCATCTGGTGGGGCATACCTTTTTTAAAGTTTTTTTTATAACACACTTATCATTTTCTTTCATCTCAATGTTGTTGTTGTTGTTGTTGCCATCTCGGTAAACTCTCACTGAAATAGACGTATATAGCATTTATTAAATCATAAAATGCGGAAATTCCTGGTATATTCTTAACAGAATCATTAAGGACTAAGTTGAGGTTATGTGTAGCGCAATGAACATACTCGGCGTAATGATGTTCTTTCAAGTTCTTCATTTTTTTTTATACCATTTTCCCGATTTTTTAATTTTCATTTTCTGAATTTGATATCACAATTTTTCGTTTATTCAATGCCTCGATTTTCCAATTTTCAATATTTAGATTTTACAATAATTTTCGTGTTTTCGACCGAAATTTTTCGATCTTTAAGTTTCTCAATTTTTAATCTTTCGATTTTTGAATTTTCCGTTTCTTCATATTCTCAAGTTTTTCGATTTCTCGAAGCTTTCATTTTATACTTTTGCGTTTTTTCATTTTGAGTTTTCAATTTTACAATTTTTCTATTTTATAACTTTTCCATTTGTTTATTCGGAAAGTAGAAAATTCTAAAAATTGAAAAATCGGAAAATTAAAAAATTGGAAAAAATTGAAAAAACAAAAAATTGCAAAATCGATAAAACGGAAAATCGAAGGGAATTTGTTTTTACGATTTTTTAACTTCGATTTTTTAAATTTTTTAATCTCTTTTTCAATTTGTCGATTTTTGGAATTTTCTTTTTCTCATATCTAGGTTTATCGATTTTTTTGAGTTTTTCGATTTTTCCGTTTATCTTTTTTTTAAGTAAATATTTCAATTTTGAATTTTCCGATTTCGGCCTATTTCGATTTCCCGATCTTTTGAAGTCTCAAGTTTTCGATTTCGATTTCTTGGTTTTTCGATTTTCAAAATTTTCGATTTTTCTAGTATATATTTTAAATTTTCGATTTTTAAAATTTTTCATTTTTCCCTTTTATAGTCTTTATGTTTCGATTTCCCGATTTAAATTTTTTAATGTGTTTCAATTTTTCCATTTTTGGAATTTTCGATTTCTCATATCTCAATTTTCCAATTTTAAAAATTTTTCGATTTCTCGATTTTTAAGTTTTCGCTATCTCAATTTTGGGAATTTTTCAATTTATATACTTTTCAAATTTTCGATATTTTCATTTTCCCGATTTTGTAATTTTTATTTTCTTGATTTTATATCACAATTTTTCATTTTTCCATTACCTTTATTTTTTCGATGTTTCTTTGGATTTTATAATTTTTTGTTTATTCAATTTTTTACATTTTCGATCTTTGATTTTTTAAGTTCTTGATTTCCAATTTTTTTATATTTCGATGCTTTCATTTTCTACTTTTTCAGTTTTACAATTTTTCTATTTTATAATTTTTCGATTTTGTTTATTCGAAAAGTTAAAAACTCGAAAAAATGAAAAATTGAAACAATGAAAAACTAAAAAAAGAGAAACTTACAAATCTAAAAAAAATGAATGAATCGAAGAATGGGAAAGAAGAAAAATCATTCGAATTGAAAAATTGGAAAATCCAAAAATTGTAAAATCGAAAAATTATGGAATCTTGAAAATTGTAAAGTCCAAAAACTGTGACATTCAAACACTGAAAAATTGAAAAATTAAAAAAACGGAAAATTGAAAGCCGAAAATTGAAAAAATAAAGAAAATTAAAAACCCACACGAAAAATTGCAAATCGAAAAATTGACGAAATTAAAAACTGAAAACTCGTGAAATTTGCAAACTCTAAAATTTGAAACATCTAAAAGTTGGAAAATCAAAACTGAAAAATCGAGAAATCGAAAATTTTCAAAACTGAAAGTCGAAAGATTGAAAAATCGAAATTTTGGAAAATCGACAAACCGAGGAATTCAAACTGAAAAAAGATCGAGAATTCAAGATGTCGAAAAATCTAAATATCTAAAATTTAAAAAATAGAAAAATTACAATAACGAAAAATTTAACATTAAAAAAAACACAAAATCAAAAAGTCGAAAAATCGAGAAATTGAGAAATGGAAAAATGAAAATTTAGAAAAACCAAAGATTGAAAAGCATAAAAAAAATTAAAATCGGGAAATCGGAACGTAAAAAAAATAAAATCGAAAAATTGAAAAATTTTAAATTTAAAAATTCGAAAACTTGAAAAACCGAAAAACTGAAGAAATGAAAAACTAAAAAATCGGCAAATTGAAAAATCTCAAAACTGAAAAGTCGAAAAATTGAAAAACCCAAAAATCGATTTCCGGTAAGTCGAAAAATCAAAATTTAAAAAGTTGAAAAATGAAAATATCAAAAAATATAGACATTCTCAAAATTGAAATGTTGAAAATTTGAGAAATCGAAAACTTGAAAAAAAGAACGAAAAGTAAAAACATTTTAAAATCGAAAAAACGAAAAATCGAGATGTAAGAAATCGAAAATTCTAAAATCGAAAAATTGCAATACACGTTGAAAAGGTTAAAATCGGGAGATCGAAGCATAACAAAATATAAAATCGAAAAATGGAGAATTTTAAAAATCTAAAAACTCGAAGAAATAAAAAATTGAAAAATGGAAAAGCCGAGAAATCGAAATTAAAAAATTGAGACATCAAAAGATCCGTGAAATGGAGAAATCGAAAAACCGGAAAATTTAAAACTGAAATACATATTTAAACTTAAAAAAAAACGATAAATCAAAATATTCAAAATTCGAAAAATCAGAAATTTTAAAAATCGAAAGATCGAGAAATCGATATATCAAAAAAGTGAAAAATTTTAAATTAAAAAATTGGAGATATTGAAAAATCCCAAAATTGTAACAACGAAAACTTGAGAAATCGAAAAACTGAAAAATCGATAAATTGGAAAGAGGAAAAATCGAAAAATCAAAGAATTGATTAATAGAGAAATTGCGAAATGTAACAATGAATTTTTTTTTAAATTGCAAAAATTGTAAAATTGAAATATCGAAAAAGTAAGTAAACTAAAAATCGAGAAATCAAGAAATCGAAAAGTTGTAATTCAATTTTGTTTTATTTTTCCACAAAAATTTCGATGTCGAAGATAAAAATTCAACACGGATTCATAGACCATAGGTACACTGTTACTTTTTTTTAATTTATATAACATTTATTTGACAAAATTGTAGAACTGAAGAAACGAAAAATAGAAACATTGAAAAACTAGAAATCGAGAAAAAATTAATGAATCAAAGAACGAATTAAATCGAAAAATCTTCGTAAAGTCCAAAAACTAACATTCAAAGATCGAAAAACTAAAAAATTCCAAAAACGAAAAATTGAAAAAGTGAACAACTCTAATAAAAATTATAATTATTATTACATATCTAACATGAAAATTAGAAAACCTGCAAATCAAAAATTGAAGAAACGAAAAATTGGAAACAAAAAAAATTGAAAAATCCAAAAACTGAAAAATTTCAAATTGAGAAAAAGAAAAAATATAAAAACTCGTTCCTCGCGCGTTAAAATATCTCGATTATTAATCACCTTTATTAACAAACTTGTTCGTTAAATAGCTATTAATTTACCTGATCTTATTTTCAATTCCAATGAAAACCCCTTCTTTAAAGTTTGCACATTTTAAAAAAAATAAATCGGTTACGTTACGGTCTGCGCCCCCCGCATCGCGGGGTCTGCGGGGGTGCTATTTACGCCACTGCATTTATTTGTTATAATTGAAACAATGAAGAACGTTTATTGTTATTATGATTTTACTGTTTATTTTTATTTTTTTTTATACATGAAAGTGTATTCTATATTTAAATGTGATCTATTTTTTTTCTTACAATTTTATGTTAATTTTTATAAAAAACAATGTATAGGACTTTGTTATTTTTCCGATAAAAATATTTATTAAAAATATTGTTTCCTACCTATTGTTACAATTACTATGTACTTATAGATTACTATTTTTTACTAAATATGGGTATTCATTAAAACGTTCCATCGCCAGTTAGGTCAACCAGACACTCTAGCATTTCTACTGAACATCTATTATTTTTACTAAACACAGCACAATTAAATACTTGCACATTGTACTGGTCAGGTTTTATTTTAACACTTACAATTTCTACTGAACAAACTTATTAATGTACGTAACAAACTATTTAAGTTACCTAAAAAATGCATTTTATATTTATCATTTAATTACAAGCCATTGATCAATCGTGTGATTTTCGTGCGACATTGCGACACTTTTTGTCGCTTTTAACGACTCAATTAAAATTCACAAGTCTCGTCAGCGCAAAAATCTAGGCACTTTGCATACTTTCACCGATCTGAATGTCCCAAAATCTGCTAGAAACGCGTTTCGACACAGGAAATCGAAAAAACGGTGTAATAGCATAAAATAAAATTTGTACTCTCAGAAAAATGAAAATCCCTTCATGCAAAATTTGCAAAATCATACCGCGACCTTGCTTAGTGGGTTAGAGCGAACGCAAAAACCAAGCGAATTAGCTACGATTTTAATTGTTTACGACTGTCTCAACGGTCGGTAAGTACAATAATTCCACAAAATACTCTCCACCCCAAAGCATACCTACTACAGATCGCTGAAGTCGTACTGTTAAAAGAAAAAAAAATTAGCTTTTTTAATACATTCTGATACGAAAAAAATTTCAAGCGTCTACGACTACGAGGAAAAACTGTGACGACATTCCTCTAAGCCGGTTAATTATTTTATCAGTATGTGTAACGTAGATAAGTTTTACAAGCTCCTTGAATGTGTTTGAACGTGACTATAAATAACCCTTTCGTTCTTTGCCTTTTCGCTGCTCAGACTTGTTAAAAATAAACAAAAGTAATAATAAAAATTACACGTTAACACGAATCCTCTCACGTAAATATTGTCAGTGTTAAACGGTCGCAGGAAATTGCCCCCACTATTTTCTTTACGTAATTACTAAAATTAGTAAAATTACTAAAATAGTAACGCTATTATTCACGGCATTCTCTACATAAATACATAAACTCGACTACGTGCATTCACGTGCTTCGCTGTGACTTACGTTATCGCAATTAGCGGCTATTTGTTAAGTATGGTTACCTTTGGGGTAAAAGTCTATCGTTGGCGAGAAAGCCGGCCGAATGCAAAGTCTTGTTGTAATCTCCGTGTCTGGCCTGTACGGCGTATGAGGCTAAAAGGACGGACGTCTCAGGTGGACAATATATTTCATCCGACAAGATGGAATTCTTCACTTGCAAATAAAACAGACGCAAGGTGATGTCTTGGATGAGCTCCTCGGCGACATCTTCGGGGTAAAATTTGGCACGAAACTTGAACTGAAGCGGGTTTTCTTTTTTCACATCTTGGCTCATCACCTAAAAAGAAGATGGTTGTAGCAAGCTGTCGACTTTATCTTTTAGTTTTATAGTTTCGGTATACAAACATTTGCACTGCTAAAAATATTTGTGAGACAGAGAAATGAGAGTTTTTGGTTTTCGCGAAACAAGGAATGCCCAAAATTCGCATCTACGGAGTTTGACTATTGAAATTTGACGATACACTCATAAGTTGGACAACTGGCTACTTTTCTATTTGTTCGACGTGTCGTGACCCCTAGAGTTAAAATTTTTATTACCTCCGAAACTACTGAACCGATTGTTGTATAGGTAAATATTATTTCAACTTCATAATGATACTACTTCCCATGTAGTTTATGAGTCCGTGTTCAATTTAACTCTAGACAAGCAGATTTTTGAAAAAAAAATCTTAATTGTACAACAACAGTTTGCAATTTATGAAACTTCAAAACCAAATGCTCTGAAATTTTGCAAACGTAAAACGTTAATTAAAATCTATTCGTTTATCCCCTTCCAAAAAAAATTTTTGTGATGGAAATACTAACCTGAAACAAACGCAGAGCACGCTTTTTTACATCTACTTAACATTACATACAGATCTTCATTTTAACTTCTAAAAGTTATCATAAAAAAATTAAAATTCGTAAAATCAATTTTATAATTTTGCGAAAAATTTGGATTTACATATTATTTATGTATTTCAATTTACGATTTTTCAATTTTTGGCGTCTCAAAATTTTCGATATTTTGATTTTCACATTTCTCCATCGAGAAATCGAAAAACTGAAACATCGAAATTTCGAAAATTTTTCGATTGTTCAATTTTTCGATTCTTTATTTTTTAAATTTTACATTTTTCAGTTTTATCAGTTTTTCAATTCCCCGATTTTTCAAATTTTCGATTTCTGATATTTTATTTCTCGATTTCTCTGTTTTCCCAGATGTCAGTTTTACGAGTTTTTAATTTTTTGATTATTCGATTTCATGTTTTTTCGACTTCTGGACTTTCCGACTTTTAGATTTTTCGATATTTTGATTTTCCCACTTCTCGATTGTTCGGTTTTCAGATTATCAATTCTTCAATTTTTCTGATTTTTCACTTTTTCGATTCTTCAATTTTTTGATTTCTTCAATTATTCTGATTTTTCAGTTTTACCAAATTTTTCGATTTCTCGATTTATCGAGATTTTGATGTTTCAATTATTTATTTATTTTTTTTACAAATTTTAATTTTTCTAATTTTCAATTTCTCTGTCTTCCCAAATTTCAGTTTTATGATTTTTCAATTTTTTGATTTTGCAAGTTTTTGATTTTTCAATTCTTCGAGATTTCGGTTTTCGATGTTCTAGTTTTGGGATTTTTCAGTTTTTCGATTTCCCAGTTTTTTGATTTTTTCATTTTTCAATTTCTCGATTTTTAAATTTTTTCGATTACTTGATATTTCGGTTTCTCGTTTTTTCAATTTTTCGAATTTTACGTTTTTCGATTCTTTTTTGGGATTTTTTTAATTTCTCGATTTTTAGATATTTTAAGTTCGATTTCTCTATTTCAGTTTTTGGTATTTTGATTTTCCCAATCTCCATTCGTTGCTTTTCAGATTATAAATTCTTTAATTTTTCGATTTTGGAATTTTTCAGCTTTTCGATTTTTAAATTTTGGATTTTTCGATGTCTTGTTTTTTTATTTTTCAGTTTTTTTAATTTTTAATTTTTCGATTTTTCAGTTTTATCAATTTTTGGGGCTCTCAATTAATCGAGATGTCGATTTTTTCGTTTTTTTTTTACAGATTCTAATTTTTGCATTTTGGGTTTTTCTATATTCTAATGATTCGATTTTTAGACCTTTCGATTTCTCGGGTTTTCAATTTTTCACTTTTACGATTTTTTGATTCGATTTCTTGACAACTAGGACTTTCGATTTTTAATATTTTTCGACAATTCGATTATTCAAGGTTTCGATTTCTCAACTATTCAGCATGGAATTTTTCCATTTCCGCATTTTTCAATTTTTCGATTTTTTAAATTTAGATTTTTCGGTTTGTCGATTTCTCGGTCTTTTGATGGTTGAATTTCTCGATGTTTCAATTTTTAGAGTTCTCGGTTTTCCGATTTTGGTTATTTCGTTTTTTCTATATTGTGATTCTTGCATTTTCAGTTCAGATTTTTTGAAATCTCGATTTTCGAATTTTTGATTTTTCGGTTTTTGGATTCTTAGATTTTTCTGATTTTAGGTTTTCCGATCTCTCGAATTATCGTTTTTTAGAATATTTGATTCATTTCTCGATATTTTATTTTCCGATCACTCTAATTTCCCATATTTCAGTTCTACGATTTTTCAACTTTTTGATTTTTCGATGTCTTTTTTCTTCGACTTTTAGGTTTTTCGAAATTTTGATTTTCCCAATTCTCCATTCTTTGATCTTCAGATTATCAATTCTTTAATTTTTTGATTTTGCAGTTTTTGGATTTTTCAGTTTTTCATTCTTCAATTTTTCTTAGATTTTTCAATTTTTCCATTTTTCATTTTTTTGAAATTATAATTTTTTGATTTCTTAAATTTTGGATTTCTCGATTTCTTGTTTTTTTATTTTTCAGTTTTTTAATTTTTTATTTTTCGATATTTCAGTTTTATCAATTTTACGATTTCTCAATTTATCGAGATGTTGATGTTTCGATTTTTCGTTTTCCAATTGTTGGATATTTCGATTTTGAAAATGAAGAATTCAATAATTGAAAAACCGTAAATCTGAAATACGGGAAAATAGAGAAATCGAAAATAACATATCGAGCAATCGAAAAATTGGAAAAACAGGAATTGAAACACTGATATAACTGAAAGTCGAAAAATTTAAAAATCGAAAAATGTAAAATTTAAAATACGAAGGTTGTCCGATGTCTCGGATTATCGTTTTTTAGAATATTTGATTTATTTCTGGATTTTTCAAATTTTCAATTTCTCGATATTTTATTTTTCAATTTCTCTATTTTCCCATATTTCAGTTTTACGATTTTTCAATTCTTTAATTTTTCGATTCTCTTTTTTTCGACTTCTGAACATTTCGATATTTTGATTTTCCCAATTCTACATTCTTCGGTTTTCAGATTATCAATTCTTTAATTTTTGGATTTTGCAAATTTTTCGATTCTTCAATTTTTTGAAATTATAACTTTTTGATTTCTTAAATTTTAGACTTCTCGATTTCTTGTTTTTTTATCTTTCTATTTTTTTAATTTTCATTTTTTCGATTTTTCAGTTTTATCAATTTTTCGATTTCTCAATTTATCGAGATGTTGATGTTTCGATTTTTGTTTTTTTTTTTACAAATACTAATTTTTCGATTTTTGCACTTTTTCGATTTCTGGATGTTTTAATTTTCCAATTGTTCGATGTTTCGATTTTGAAATTGCGGAATCCAATAATTGAAAAAACGTAAAACTGAAATACGGGAAAAACTAGAGAAATCAGAAAATAGAATATCGAGCAATCGAAAATTTGAAAAATCGAGGAATTAAAAAATCCCAAAATTGAGTAAACGAAACACTGAAAATCGAGAAATTGAAAAATTGGAAAATCAGGAATTGAAAAACTGATAAAACTGAAAGTTGAAAAATGTTAAAATAGAAAAATGTAAAACTTAAAAAACGAAAGTTTTCCGATCTCCCGGGTTATCGTTTTTATATAGAATACTTGATTCGTTTCTCGATTTTTCAAATTTTCAATTTCTCGCCGTTTTATTTTTCGATTTGTTTTAGTTTTCCAACTGTTCAATGTTTCAATTTTTCGACTTTTCGGCTTTTCTATTTTTGAATTTTTTGATTTTTTATTTTTTTTCAATTATTGGATATTTCGATTTCTCGTTTTTCCAATTTTTCAAATTTTACATTTTCCGACTTATTTTTTTATGTTTAAAATTTTTCGATTTCTCAGTTTTTCAAGTTTTCGATTCCTCAACTTTTCAACATTTCGGTTTGGGAATTTTTCCATTTCTCGATGTTTCAATTTTTGGATTTTTCATATTTTCGTAATGTCGAATTTTCGATTCTTCCACTTTTGTTATTTTGTTTTTTCTATATCAGGATTTTTGGATTTTCAGCTCAAATTTTTTGAAATCTCCATTTTTGAATTTTTGATTTTTCGATTCTTGGATTTTTGAATTTTAGGTTTTCCGTTCTCTCAGATTATCGTTTTGTTCGAATATTTAATTTCTGTTCAATTTATCGATTTTTCAATTCTTTAATTTTCAATTTTTTTAATTTCCGATTTTTCGCCATTCTTCAGTTTTTGAACCTTTCAGTTATTTTACTTTTCGATTTTTTGATTTTCCGAGTTTTTGTTTTCCGATATATGTATTATTTTCTTCTACTTTTCGATTTTTGAACTTTCGATGATCCGTTTTTTTCGAATTTTCAATTTTTCTACTTTTCGGACTTGTTATCGCTGTTGTGTTGGTAAAAAACACAAATCGCACATCAAAATTTTATACTTTTCCAAAAAAGCGCATTTTATTGGGCTTCGCTTAAACGGAGAGCGAAGTTCTGTCCAAATAACCTTCTACCAATTTTTTGTAGCTTACTGTACAGTTGCACTCAACATATCTAGAGCTAAAAATACCATTGGAATCAGTATACGGATTATAGACCTTTACACGCTAATAAATCTTCTCATTATTTGCAGTTGGAGTGTGTGTTATTATGAAATAGCTAAAACACACTTTAATTGCGTGAAATTATCGACACGTTGGCCTGATTCGCGTCAACTCTAGCCAATAACGGAAGTTTGATTGAGCCGTGGTTTATACAATCGATATGAGATATAAGCGTGAAATATGAATGAATCGGGTGTAATTTCAAATGAGAGTAGTAGTTTATTTGGATTACATCCAAACGATCCCATAATTTTTTTTCGATTTATCTATCGACTACCTCTCGACGCACAGTTTTGCGGCTGCAGCACAATCACTGACCGGAAGTCATGTGAAAATTTAACGGAAACCGGAGTTTATTCCTGCGTCCTTGTAC